TTTAATAATTTCCTTTTACAAACAGTCATATTTCTTTTCATAAAGTTAACTTTAACTACATAAAATCAGCCAAATTAAGTTTAAATTTCAGTATTTAATTGTATGCATTTCTGAAACAATATGCTGTAACAACTGGATCATTTGTATTTACAAGCACCCACCCCCCTAGTGCCTCTTTTTTGGTTTGGGCCACTGCCCCTCAAAATGTCTGTGCACGGCCCTGCGCGGGAGGAACATTTATTCACTGTTTTAGTGTCAGGTCAGAGGGGCGTCAATATCACCATGTGTGCTGCCATCTCCAGTGATACACATGCAAACTATCCGTTCAATACAGAATGCCTGATCACTGTTCTTGAAGCACTAAATGAAAGACTGGCTTCAGCTAAAGAGAGAGAGGGCTGTTGATGGATTGGACATGCAAGGAGGTGCACTGCAACACCGCAAGGAAAAACATCCGTTGTGAAGTTCTGAGTATTTCAACTCTTTATTATATTATATATATATATTTTTTTTAGATATTCCCACCCATAATTTTCCATTGTTTTAGTTTAACTATATTCAACACTTCTGAGTTTGAACAGTGTCATTTCATATTGATAGCTGTGTTTTGTATTTTGTTGTCCACTGTGTAATGCTTGATTGAAAGAATAAATTAATTTGACCACAAGTTGTGGTGTTTAATGGAAGTATTTGCTTATGTTGCATGTTTTGTGAGTGTTGGAGCATTTTGCAAACAAAAGTCATCATTTTGGCCAGTGAGCTTCAGTTTCAGCACCGTGTTAACCGTTTTGAAAATGTGATGAAATCTGAGTGGACAAGTGTTTAAGCAATCGAGAAAAACTGTAACCATTTACGCCTGGAGGCATATTGAGACCCGAATATCTCTGGAACAGAACCATACAGGGCCTTAGAACTGAAGATGCCAAAAGAAAAGTTAAGACCCAGAATCTAAAAGAGCATTAAGATATCTTTAATACTACTTGTGTTACAGGAGTGCAATCTTTGGAGAACCCCATTTTTGAATGATCACCATTGTCATATAATGCAAAAATATTGCAAAAGTCAACCGATTTTATAAATAGACCTACCAACCTCTGGGTAAAAATCATATGATGCTAAAGTCATTTTTACCCCCTGTGATTTGGCTCCAAATCTCAGGTGAAAGTTGTCATTTTTGAAAGTTGAGTAATAGTGGATTAGTCATTGTGACATTTAATATTTTGACTTTCCTCACTCTACACGTTTATCTTTCTTCAGAAAAATAAATAACACAAATTTGAGCCGGGGAAGTTTCTGAAATGTGGTTGATTTGAGACCGAATGCTCCTATACAGTGTGAGGCTGTCATCACAGCAGTTTACAGCAATGGGAACCGCAACCTTGGAGCCTCTTTTTTGTTTAAATGATGTCTTCTGACTTAATCCTTGAATAATTTGATTATTAATTTATATGATACGGTAGTATATAGGAGAAACATTTGAGATGTTAAATTCAATAAATTCAGTTTAATGTTAATATTCAGTAATACCATCAATTTTGTTGAGCTGATTAATGACACTATTGTCACTATTGTTTTATAGCTGAATCAAATTGGTTCATAATTGATGAATTGTGCAACATTGACCCTGTTACTGAGCTGACTGGATCTGAATGACAACACTACTGTCTTCAATGCTGCTTATTGCTGGATTTAATGAATGAACTTTACGCCTTTTATTACACTGAAGTGCAGTGTTGGGAAGTAACTAGATACATGTAAGTAAATCAATTACAAAATAGCAATTTAATTACAAAATACATGTAACCGTAATCAGTTACTGAGAAAAAATGTGTAATTATATTACAGTTACTTATATGAAAATGTTTTGATTTTTTCCCCCACACACATACAGATTTGATTCATAGCTATCAAACTATTTCTTGTTACGATTTTAAGTCAGTATTTAACCTCAGAATGATTTCAAAGTAAAACGAGGTGCTAAAGTCTGATTTTGTGGCGGCTGTGCTTTAAAATTAAATTATTATAATCTTAGGTAACACTTTATTTTGACAGTCCACTTTAGACATTCTTCTAACAGTAATAACTTTAACTACATGTCAACTAGCAGTCATTAGAGTATTAGTAGACTGTCTGCTTAATATCCTCTAACACTTTATTTTGATGGGTCCACAACATACAACACACTGACTACGAGAAACTTATTCTACTAACCCTAAACCTACCCTAACAGTCTACTCTGAGAATTAGTAGACATGTAGTTGCAAATTAATGAGAATTAGTTGACATGTAGTTACTTATAGTTAGTAGCATGTCTAAAGTTGGTCTTTCAAAATAAAGTGTAACCTAATCTTAATTCAAACAATGAAGGATTTTGAAAGTCTGGCATCAGTGTTGAGTTCTGTAAGATCAACCCTGTCAGCTTTAAATGATTAACAGTTGAAAACATAATTTTAGAAACGTAATAAAAAAAGTAATCGCAATCAGTTACATTACTTTTTACATTTTAGTTACACTGCTTATTGCATTTAGGGTAACTTGTAATCTGTAACCTATTACATTTCCAAAGCAATTTTATATATTTTATAATATTTTGTAAATGTCCTACTGTAAATATATCAGAACTTAATGTTTGATTAGTAATATGCATTGCTAAGAACTTCATTTGAACAACTTTAAAGATGATTTTCTCAATATTTTGATTTTTTTGCACCCTCAGATTCCAGATTTTCAAATAGTTGTATCTCAGCCAAATATTGTCCTATCCTAACAAACCATACATCAATGGAAAGCTTATTTATTCAGCTTTCAGATGATGCATAAATCTCAATTTAAAAAATTTGACCCTTATGACTGGTTTTGTGCTCCAGGGTCACACATCTAAAAAATAAAAAAAATGCTGTGACATATAAAGTCGCAATTATGAGAAATAAAGTCATAAATGAGACATATAATGTTGAAATTACAAAACAAAAATGCAATTAAAATAAAGAAAGTAGCAATTTTGACATGGTGTTGTAATTGTGAGATATAAAGTCGAAATGTCAGAAATAACCTCAAACCTTGTTTGTTTGTTTTTACTCTGAGGCAGAAACTCGTGCAGTCTGCCCCCTGGAGCAATAATAACGCAATGCCTCACAGAAAACAGCACAACATTCGCCGCACTATCTATTGCAGTAGTTTTCTGATTTATCGCTCTCCAAGTGTGCAACGAAAAAAATATACCTTTAAAATAATACTAATTATAAACAGCTTTTAAAAATAGGTTCAACGCTAGTATTTAACGTACAGCATTCGCATCTGGCTTGACGTGTGACTGCAATATCGCGTTATTTCATTGTTTTGCGCCTTTTGGAACGCACTGGTCTAAAGTCTCGCGGGATTTCAGTGTGTTGACTAAATGCCACGTCGGTTCGAGAGTGAGCCGCGTCAGCTGGTCTGTATCTTACCGACTGCGCAGAATAAGCGGTATTTTTAGCGGATTGTATCGCTACAGGAGTCGTGCTGTGACACAGCAGCAGCAGCAGCAGGTATTTACTCTGTGAGAGCGATCGTGTGTTTACTACTGTAATAATAGCTCGCTGTATTAGCAGAGAAGTGTTGATGGAGCTAACATCTTTGTCTGCTTTGCCTGGCTAAGTTACTGTGAAACGGGGTTTAGACCTGGTTTAAGATGGTTGGACCTGGGTAAGTAAGCTTCAGTCGTTTGGTTTTCCAGGTTTCGGAGGGATTTCAGAGATTTGTAATGTGATTTAACAGAAGTTGAGGTGAAACACTGTTAGGAAGTCAGTCTTGTTTCACGTTAAGCTCTGCTAAAGGACACTTAACGTTATTTGGGAGGGAATTGATCTTAATAACCCGTGTCCAGTAATCACAGACCTGAAGGAAATGGGGTTTATTGATTGGTTAGGTGTGAGTCCTCTCTGCTGTCGTCATGTCCGCTTTACAGCAGGATGTTGTTGTGATGTCACTTCTGTGTGAATGTTCATTCATCGGATAATTGTTATTGAGTTCATAGAAGCTATGAAAAGTTCTGCTACAAACTGACCTCCGAAACCTGACAGTTTTACTAGTCCAAGCTATTTGAGTTGAACTAAATCTGGGTAACTTGTTAGTTGACATACTGTGTGAAATGCTATGCTACTCTAAAACAGGGTGGAAGAGAATGTTATCGTGTTTAAATGAACTTCCTCTGGTTTTTTTTGTACTGTTCTTGTAATGTTTTCAAGATCTTTACTTCATAAAACATCATTTAGAAGTAATAGGCTATTTTCTGCCCTGTTTTAACCCCTCATCAGAACGCTCTGTCTGAGTAGGTGTGGAGGATTGTAGACTCAGAAGTAAACCTGATGTGAACCTGAGAGGAGGAGATATATTGAGAAACTAAACTTTATTGGTCTAAGTCAGTGCCCTTTTTCCGTACCTTCCTTTTGTTTGAGAAATGATCCAACTGAACGTCCCAACGTGAGATACCCTGACATCTACAACTATTTGTGTCCTTAAACGCTCATTTTTGGGGTCGACAGCTTGTAAAAACGTAGTTCTGGGTTTTTTAGCTTGTTTACTGTACACCTCGTCACACAGCAGCTTTTAGACATTGCTCTGTTTTTTGTTACAAGTCAGAAATGACAAGGAGGCAGCTTCCCGCAATACAAAGTCAATGGAGAGCGTTGGATTGTTGGAAGCATTTGAGCTGTGTTTATGATAAATGTGCATAACAGGGACTGTAAAATATGTATTTTAGGGATGGAAATGACATTTTTATATTTGGGACATGGTAATTGCGCTACTTTGGGCTGGTTTTTTTTTTTACTGGCATGGGCTTGGGATGCTTAATTAACTCGGAAAGCTTTATTTTCCCTCCTCAATAAGTTTTGTCAGTTGTTTTGTTTATTGGTCTAGGACTGCCACTAAAGACTATTTTTATTTTGATTAATCTATCGACTAATTTATTGATTAATCGATTAATCTAAACAATTAATTTCCCACAAAAAAATCAACCATTTTAAAGAACATTTTATTAAACTTGCAACTTTGCCATTCAGTAGTGTACCATAAAAAAGTATAAATGTAAACAAGCCATTGACGAAATGTAAAACTAAAAGAGTAAAAATTTAAACAAACCTAATAAAAATGAAATAAAAAGAAAATAATTACAAAAGTCTGAGAAAATCCGCATGTTCTTAATGTCAATATATCCACATGTTCTGGGCTTCTGTTCATTACAGCTGCGAGTGCAACTACAAAGGGGAAAAAAACCCTGTTTTAATTAACCCCAACAGTTGGGTTTTCATATTAAATAAACGCAATGTTTAGACTAGAGTCCACTAGAATCAAGTATTCAAATTTTATTAAAAGTTATTATTATTAAAATGTTAAGTATTAAAATTACTCTTAGAAATGTGTAAACAACAGATTTAAACAGACATCTCCAGCATGATGAAAAAAATCAACAGAGGTCTTCAGTAGTGAAACTCCAAATGAAATCCAAATTTCTATGAAATCCTTTTTTAAAGCAAAAGTAAAGTGCAACATAGAGTGCAAGAAGCAAGTGTCCATCTCATAGTCCAAATCACTGAAATCAAAGTTCAGTATTATAGTGTAAGAATGACAACATGTCCACGTGTTCTGGTCTACTAATAATAAAATATTATAATTAATCATTAATTTTTGTGGTAATAAAAATGGATGTAGGTTAAGTGAACAATAGCCTTTAAATTTACTTAAAATACATATATAATAGCAATGAGGCAATAATAATTAGTTCAAATAAAGTATCAAAAGCAAGAAATCATATGGTTTTATTGAACAAAACTGTTAAAATACTGTATTATAATGTAATAGAGCCACTGATCTATATATAATTACAAAATAATATAATATAATCTCTATTATAGATCAGTGAATATAGCTAATGTACAGTACACATTACAACAAAGGCCTGAAGGGGGCGCCAATGGCCTGACGATTGTTTTTACACATTACTGTGTGCATCACATATAATTATTTAATTAAATTGTAGCGTTTGTGAATTCACAGTTATGCTTAATTATGATTTTTAAATGGGTTTAATATATCATGCAGCCTTGGAAAACAGTCTAATAATGTTTTATGGATTTTCGTCCGTGAAATGCGGCACTTCCGGTATTTTGCCGGTTAGTCGACGCAGGCAATATGAAGTCGATTATTTTTTTAAAAATCGAATAGTCGAATAGAATCGACGAACCCTATATTGGTAAATGGTAAAAAGACTGTCGATTAGCAATGGATTATAAATATACTTAATTATGATGAAAATACCAAAGATGGCTTGAATAACAGGTAAACTATACATTGTCGCAGTCGAGTGTTTATTGTCTTTTTATCATTCAAAACGTTATCATTCAAAATAGTGATCGACCGATATTGATATTTTATAACCGATACCGATACCAATTATTTGCGTGTTTATGTGCCCGATAACCGATATGCGGAACCAATATTTATTTACTGTTATAAAGTAAATAAATGACTGAGTAAAGTAAGTCCATACTTCACTTTGGTTTTTCCTCCTTTCAGTCATCTTAAAAAAAAAAAAAAGTGTTGAAAATTAGCAGTCTTTCATGTTAAATTTAATCTTCATATTACAATTTAAAAAACATTTTATTTAAAGCATCAGCAGCAACACTAAAATTATCAATAAGCAAAATAAATGTAGAAGGTCTAATGTTTTCAAATGGAGAAAATAAATAAAGGAAAGGAGTCATATCAACTTCATTTTAAACTACAGTTTTAGTAGGTTTATAAGCTGTTTAATAGGCTAAAGAGTGAAGAATAATTCACTGGATAATGTTAATTCACTGAATAATATTCTCTGGAATATTGAAATATAACAAACAAAACATTGTATTTTATTGCATTTCTCAACTGGCATGTTATTTCAGAATTACTAATAATGTTTTTGTCGTTCTAGATTATGAAATGCCTGCTGACAGCGCAGTTTATCTATGCATTTACACAGAACTATACTCAAACTGCGATCGCTCGTGGAGATAATAAATAATTAATCTCCATAGAGATGTATTTATTTAGATGTTTATTAGCTAAATAATGGTTATATAGTAAATGTTAATACAATTTAGGGTGTTTTAAACAAATGAATCTTGTTAAAAGTTACATGCTGTGGCCGTCTCAAAACATCCACAAGATGGCGGCGTTTATCGGTGAATCCGATATTACAAAACCGATAACCGATTATTGTAAAATGCTTAAATATCGGGAAAATATCGGTAAATCGATATATCGATCGATCTCTAATTCAAAATGAGTAATCTTCTGTTTACTCAGTTACAGCGATAGCAATGCCTTTGTCCATATTAGCAAAGAGTATAGGGATTTCCTGAATCCTATTCCTTCTGTGATGCACATGTGGAGTTTCTGTGCGAGGGCGCCCTCTGGCGTCCAGTATGAATGAAACAGACATTAAATGTGTTTATAGCGCTCAATAATGGCGAATCCATCCTATTTTGGGTATTTATTTATTTTTAAAAATGTTTTTTTTTAAGTATCGGTTCAGGCACCGTTTAGGCACCGGTACCGTTTTAAAAGTATCGATTTGGCACCGGTATCGTAAAAAATAAATACGACCTCACGTTGTCTTTTATTTTTGTGCGTAAAAATAAAAAAAACAATGACTTTATTCAGCAATTCGTCTCCTCCGCGTCACCCTGGCGCCATTTTGGAGAGTATCATATATGTAAACAACGTATGCTGTTCTGTGTCAGCTGCGCAGCACAAAAATAAAAGACAACGTGAAATCGTATTTAGTGGTTAAACGGATCGTAGTTGATCCATGATCCGTACGGACCAAGCCCCACGGTTCGGCACGCATGTGATCCGCGGATTAATTGCAAAATTTAACCATAATAGAGTATAAGTTTATAATTTGTTCATATTTACACAAGCAAGCGAATTTTAAACAATTCCAGAGAGAAAAGGGAACTCGATTCGTTACTCATACGCTGTTCTCTACGCGCACAACCGCACACACACGAAGCGCACACGCGTTTCAGACGGCGCGCGAACACCGAACTGAATCCTCTGAACAGACACATACACATAACATTTTTACAAAATACCCATCTCGACAATCATTCAGGTAAACGCAGTCAGTTATGTCTCAAGTGAATGAAAACAGCTGACAAAGAAATCGGATGTGATGTGTATCATTATATCGGATCCGTGCATCAGGTCTTAAAGGGACAGCGGCCTATAAATACTGCTGCTGTCATTAATGATCATCAAACAACAAAACAGCTGTGATAAAAATCTATATTTAATTTATACAGTATTTTCCCTAATTATTACATTTCTTAGTGGTTAAACGGATCGTAGTTGATCCGTGATCCGTACGGACCAAGCCCCACGGTTCGGCACGCATGTGATCCGCGGATTAATTGCAAAATTTAACCATAATAGAGTATAAGTTTATAATTTGTTCATATTTACACAAGCAAGCGAATTTTAAACAATTCCAGAGAGAAAAGGGAAC